TCACCCTCGAAGGATATATTCCGTCAATATCAACTCAGCATGGTGAACGATATCATTTCCATTGACCCGATTTGGTGTCAATGTCATGCAACGGGCTCACCATGGTTCAATCAACGCGATCCACACCGTCGCTTCATCCATGAGGACGATGCCCGAGCGATAAACGCGGGCTACGCGTAGCAACTAACGCTCACAAAAAGCGATATTGGAGTATTTTTGTCTACAGCACTATCTCGAGCAGTCACATCAGGTGCGAGCTGGACCTGGCGTACAGGAGGATGTTCAGATCTGATCGACGGTGTACTGTTGCGACGCACTCTACCCGAGATGGCTTATTCGCACCAGTATTCTCGGCCTTGGTTTATACCGTCCATTATGTAGATTTTGACTACTTCCACAGCAGCCAAATATGTCTGCAGCTTACTAAGCATACGCACAGACCAATAAGCTGCTGCGTTACGCGAAATGCGGGATACACCTGCAAGTCCAGCGATCCATGTCCCACGACCCGCGTCGAAGCTGTCGACGATGTTAACACTTTGCTCGGCCAGAGCCAAATGCGGTGTCCTGGCAAACTCGAGATGAAGCGCTATCAGTACCTTTTGCCGCAAAAATACGAGCACGCTGATTACTGTCATTCAACTTCTGCTTTTGTTGCGAAACTAGACCCATGCACGCGAATGAACGGCAAACCCTAAAGGGTCTATGGTAGTACACTGAACGCATGAGAGCGGCAGATGGAGCCCCAGAGTGTAACTCGCAATATGAGCGATGACATGATGCCCTTATGATTTCATCATGGACAACTACTCCGTGCCGCTAAGTAATTGTAGTTGCATGGATCTGCAAGCGACTGCTAAAGTGGCGACGGTGCCACACTCGAATGAGCATTGCACGTCTAGCAACACTTCCTCGCTTCATATGCTTCGGTCTAGATACCAACAACTTCGACAGCATGCATACCGATGAACAACGACTCGAGATACGAATACGAAGGACTGCAACTTAAAAGGTGTGTTGCAATGATTCGAGGTGCTAGATGTGAACAAAAGAGCTCCATATAACCCACAACCTTTTCCGACAACACTGCGCGCATGTTGTTATTGCTGTCCATTTGCAATGCATCTTCGCTAGTCGTTTAGATCACCAGATTCATGCGGTGCGCAAACTATACCATCCGCTCGCTTTTCCGCCTGCGCCGCCTGTTGTCTTACAGTGTCAGCGCCAGCAGAGAATGGCACAAGAAAAATGCGATGCAACACACGCCAAGCAGAATCGCGAGCTTGTATTCTAAACAGCATCACACACCACGTCAACTATAAATCGCCAACTCCCAGTCGTATGGTACCAGCAGCAAGCCACGCACCAAGCAGCTCATCAATCGCAGCATCGCCCGTTTTCCACTTGACCTCGAGCTCTGCTGATATCGCGATGTAAAAGGCTTCCATGCCAGACAGCAAGCACAGCAGGCCGTTCCAGAAGAAACGACTTGTCACGGGGCTATGCGCTGCAAAGAACCACGTCACAACGATGCTCACGACGAGAGCTACAATCGTTGCCAGACCATCGGCTGCGTCGTATCGAAGAGATGCTATATCCTGCGTTCATACGACAACAAGAGCGACATCATAGTTGTGAGCTTCGCTCAGCATACACTTCCAAAACGCCAGTAAGACCACTGACACTGAAACCTGCCAACGGGCCGTCCGAGAGCATCGACGTCCTTGCATGAATAAATAGCAGGGTAATAAATAGCAGGAGCATCACCATCCATAGGTTGAGTCCCAGGCCGATCGTGGTACCCACCACGCTCTTTACACCATCAACTAGCATCTCCCTCTTCGACTTGACAAGACCGCCTTCCAGGGGAATGGCATGTCGCAGCAAGTTCTTGTCGGCGCCACCACTCACCAAGTGTAACACTGGCTCACGTGTGTCGACTGGCGGCACAAAGCTCATGCCAGTGATAGCAAACGAGTGCTGCTCCATCGACTTTTTCTTGTACTCCTGCAACGTGGACGCCAGAAACACTTTGATCTCTCCCGTCACTGCTGCCGCACTCACGAATCGGTCGTCCTGACTCACACACAGACTCGCGACAGGCTTGTTGCCAGCAATAGCCGTTTCTTCCACCATCCACGACCATTGCTCCTCGTTCTCCTGTGCGATCGTCTCGGGCTTCCATTTGATCAAAATGGAGTCGCCACGAGCAGACGTCAGCACAGTGTACAACCGACGTCCAGTATGGGCAAAGCGTACACACCGAAACAAGTGTTTGCGTGGTCCCACCGTGGGCTTTGTCGGCAGTCTCTGGAACGAAATATCCAGCGCGTCATCTTTCTGGAACTTGCAAATCGGCGTCACTTCCGTCAGTCGCCATAGATGACACGATTGGTCCTCGGCACTTGACGCTACGAGGTTGCGATGCGAGCGATCCACGTCGATGTCGCGGATCCGCATCGTATGACCGCGATACTCCCTCGTCAGCGTCACCATATTGTCTCGATCGATCACACAGTCGCCAAGCTTCGGCTGCTCTTCTACTGTCACTTTGGCATGGTGATCTCGCTCGTCCGGCACAATGAGAGCCTGGGACGAGCCTCCGTCCTTCTCACGCCTGGACGGGTCTCGTCGCAGCCGCCAGACACGCACAACTCCGTCTTCTCCACCCGTCAAAATGGTCGAATTGCCCACGAAACGAGCACAACTCTGCGAACTATCTTCGGGATGGAAATCCGAGCGAAACTTGACCAAGAGCGTCATGGTCTTGCTCTTCCAATCCAGAGCGTAGATCCAGCAGCCCGCGCTGATGGACACGGCAATGAGCTGTCCATCGTGCGAGAACGCGACGCCAGAGGCAAGTTCCACGCCCGTGTCGACCGTGAGTTCTTTCGTGAACCCCGTCGCGTCAGTGTCCGAGAGCTGGTAAATGTCCTATGGATCAATATCGATGGGCATGAGCGCATATGTGTGTACACATATTACAATCGAGAGAGGTTTCGTTCAGACACAAACATCGGCCACAATATCCATTATCAGAGGGGCAGGTCACAAACAACGAGCCAGAGGTAGTCGTCCAGCGATCAAGAGTCAGAGAAAGAGAGACAGAGAGAAGGAGACACAACGTACGACGGTGTTCTTGATGCCAGACTTGAGCGAGCCACCGCCGCCGCAGATCGCAAAGAAGCCGCGGCCGTAGGATAGCCCCATGATCGGGTACTTGACCTGCATCGTTCACGTCGTCGTCTTGCCGGCGCCGGCGCTTGTTGACAGTTGGCAGCACTTTTTCGACAGGATATCACGTAAGTGAGGGGTGAGGTTTTTTATCTTTGACGCGCTGAATTGGGTACGAGAGTGAGGGAACGGACGAAAAGACTGAGACTCCAATAGAGCGCACGACTGAAGAACGTTCGCTATCTTTCGAGTGGGGATAGAAAAGCTGAATGTGGTGGAAAAGGCATCGAAAGTACTGAGGTGTTGTGTCTCGTATGGACGTGTCTCACACAGCTTCTGTTTGTTTGCACATCTCGGGAAGTTTCGGTGTATCGTCATGACATCGATGCGAGTAAACACATGCTGACCATCACTTTGAACGCCAGAAGGTAAATGGAAGAGGGCATCCGGTGCAGACAATTTATGAACGACGATGGCGGTCATGGAACGAAACATAGACAGTCAGACACAGCTAAGCGCCTGCACGAAAGCGCTGAGTAGACAGCTCTTCTTTTGTCATGCAACTTGATATCACTGGGGATGTGATGTAAGCGCTTGATGGGGAGGGATCGCCACAATAGCATACATCTACCGTGCAACGTCGCGCAAGCTCATACTGTCAGAGTGCACGAACGTTTTCAAGAGTTGCAGTTGTCAATGCGAGCGCATTATGAGCTCTGCGACGTGTACAGCATTGCGTCCAATGTCTTGAGTAGTCCGAACTTCTATTCGCACAGAGGGTCCGACTCACTAGGGCACGAAAATAGGTGCATAGTCGTTATCTCGCCATCCATCGCTGCTTGTACAGCTTTATTGCAATCGCGAGGGGGTTCGGGCTGGGAAACCAAGTGATCAAAGTTGACCACTAGGTCTCTGCCGCTTGGCCAGCAATTTGTTGGCGACGATGGCGAGCAGTTGGGTCCGTAGTCGCTATACGTTCGAATCTCTCACTACGACGCTCCTCAGCACTTGCCGTTCTATCAGAAGTGTTACACGCTGTCGTTCTTCGGATACGCTGGTCACATCGTTCACGAGCCTAGAAAGCCCATCCAAATGGCGTCGAGTTGCCAGAAAGGTCGTGTGCGTAGAGTACTCTCTCTGTCCCACGATGCATGAACGGTCTTCTCGTGCATGTCTGCGCTCTGACTGCACCATGAATGTGTAGGGGTCGTAAACGGTTCGACGACAGTGACTACAAGCTGACACACAATTGATCCAAGAGCACGAACGTCTAGTTCTTGCGCGTACAATGCGACACAACTACTGACACTGAACTTGCCGACTTGTCCATGGTGATCGTGGGATACTCGTCAGCACTATAAGTATATTTCGACGTGCGGTCATTGTTTACTGGCACCGAAATGGCTCCGGCCATCGAGTAGCGGCGGTTAGTGTTCGAAAAAGTATCTCTTGTCTTGCATGTTCAATTACCGGTCCTTCTGCGACGTCAAAGGAGAACTGCGGTCTGAGACTAACTCACAATACTGTTACTCACGTGCTTCATCCCAGACAGTGCGTTAAGCTGTCAATACCACCCTTCTTGTAGTCTTCTCTACGAGCGACTACGACTGCACTACGTTGTTTTCCGTACGATACGTGACGTTGTATCTCACCAACATACTGCAATAGCTCGTACAGGATGGATCAGAAGGGAAATCAACAACGTTTATTCTGTCTCTTTTGCCAGCTTTGTCAAGCTGGGACTATGAAAGATGTGCGTGGCAATCCTGACACAATGGTGGATCCAATCGTCATGCTGACTACTACCCGCACCTCCTTCGGCCTCTTCACTTTCGTGAAACGATCGTGAACGCAGTAATTGGAATCAAAGTCGGAGAGAGGTCGGCGACTACATCGCCACTTGTCGTTGTCGCAGCAGAACCTTCCTCCGAGTATGTGTTTTTGCGACTGTCTTCTTCCATCAGGTTCATCAGCGTCGCTTCCATCTGCTCCTTCGTCAGCCTCTCCAAGAACTTGACACCAGAGGGATTGCTCATAGTTGCTTGCGCGAATGTTTTCGAGTCGTCAAACACAACCGTGTGTGTCGTGCAGTACGACTTGACCTGTCGGAACCCCGCAGCTTGTAGCTCCTTCAGCACCCTCTCTCGATCCGATGCTACCACCAACGACGGATGCGGCAGTGGCTCTCCATCACCTCCTGCAGCATTGAACATATCGGTGAGCTTATCAAACCATATCAAATGCGAACTCTTGTCAGCCCACGCCGTGACAATCAAAAGGCCGTCGTCTTTCAACACGCGACGAGCTGCTTTCCACGCTGGGGTGCGATCGATGATGATACTGAGCCCGAAATTCGAGCCGACGGCATCGACCGACGCAGTCGGAATGCTGTCCAACGTTGTTCCGTCTGCTTGCAACGGGGTGATCGCGGCACGGAACGGACGCAACGCGGGATCGTCTTCCAGCGCATTCGTCATTTCCTGCAACATCATGTCCGACCAATCCGACGCGGTAATGCGTATGTCCGTCTTCTTATGGAGATATCGACGTGCGAATTCGAAGCTAAGGACTCCAGGGCCACAGCCAACGTCCAGGAAGTGGAAAGGAACACCCGAGTTTGCATTGTGATCGAGTTTCTCGAGAATGTCGCGGTGCGCAATTTGCAGTGCGTCAGCGGCCCAGTACTGCGTCATCGATCCAAAGACCGAGCTATACGTCGTTGCATGTGCAGACCACTTGGCATCCGCATTGTCGTTCTCCATTTGCGAAAAGATCGGAGGATTTGCGAGTGAAGATATGGTAGAAGAAGGCGTGGAACTTGAGGTGTGCGTGGGTCAAAATCAGGATCGAGGGTGTTGTTTTGGAGTAGGCGAATGCCGAAGTGAGTGGATGAAATGTTTACATTCACCGAAGCTTGTTCGATTTGATCTCCCTTATGCTGTTCATTTGACTTCTCAAACATCAGAGATCGTTTAGTGACTTCTCCAATACATGATGAAACGGGGTGAACCGGTTACAAAATACTATCATTATTATAAGGTACGGTAATCGGGAATATTACATTAAATGGCCCTCTTATAATATTAAAACACAACGCGATATTCTTTTAGTGACCCAAGGGTCTACTAGGTGGTTGATATGTATTGTGATACCAACGCACCAGTCGCTGCTTGACGCGCGCAATGGTCGATGAGGAAACGTCACGATACATGTTTACATGTTGATATAACTAAATTTGGACAAATTAACAGAAAATATGATTTTGGACTCAATTAGAGTTGATACAGTTTACCGATTACCACTATTATATTACATCATCGAAATAGCAAAACCCTCCTCTGTACTGTGTACGTGACGTGATAAAGCACTGGCATCCTCTGCTGTCAGTAAGAGTTTGCTTCGTACTGTTCATTTGTACGTTGCTGCTGGTGCCCCGTTACACTTACGATGATACAGTGACTGCTCAAACACCTACGAAATTCCAGTGCAGTAGAGAAACCATTCTACGCCATGCAAGAAGATGATTTATAACCGCCGTAGCATGAGCAATGGTACTCTAATAAAAGAGCAGGTCCATGGATATCGCGCTGCAGAGCATTGTTGATCGAATGGTTAAGACTCCACCATTCCAGGGATGAGGTCGGGATTCGATTCCCCGACGGCGCACTTACTTTTTCATCTTGGTACTCTGCTACCAACCCCAGTTAGGGCCGGCCTCAAGTAGAAAGGCAAATCTGCCCCGGCAGTCTTCTTTTACATCGCCAATCTGTCTGATTGTGACTTGTTGGGAATGATCAAACTCTATGATGACGGGTGGCCCGTGATTATATTTTACGCAAGTTGCGTTAACTTAGTCCAGGAGCTGCGGAGGGTTTCCCGTACTCGGTTGGATTGAACGTGGGGTCTGCCTTTTCGAAGGTACGACCATACAAGTTGGTTGCATCGTTTCTTAGTGATCAAGGATACGAAACGATCGGGGAGTTACTTCATAGCGGCCAAAGTAACGTTCTTGAACGCACATCCAATGGTGCCACATCGATCGTGGCCAAGTCGCTCGATGTTAAACGCTTTCTGGGTGGGAAACTGGTGACCTTTTTTTGTTTGCATTATCGTTTAGGGTTACCAGCTTATTATTAAATTTCCGACAAGTAGACGTGTTGGGCGTTCCCGGCTTCATCGATCTGGAAACCTTCTTTAAACTCCTGAGTTGCGAGGTGTTAGAAGATATCGTTTCTGACAAGTCGCGAGGGTCAAGGGCAATACCCCGTGACACGGTAAGTTACAATCGTACCTGATTGGCTAACAAGTTTGACATCTTGACAGATGGGACGAGGCGACGATGTCGCCACGTCGGACCACCAGGATGTTGCGACATATGGGACGAGGCGACGAGATTACCATGTCGTCTTGTCGATGTCGTAACAGGTGGGACGGAGCGGGATAGACGTGCACTATAGACGGTATAGTTGCAGTCCGTTTCGCATGCATGTGTAGGTATTAACGAACGGGGGAGGTTAATGCTTAAATATATTCACTTTTACTTCTACATCTTCTGGAACAAGTGCATCAACGAACACTCATTCTTCAACAGGTTATGAGCCCAAAGAATCGTGTTGCCGGCGCAGCTCAAGGAGCCACACCCGCTGCGGTGGTCGATGGTCGAGAAACGACCGAGGACCACCAACTAGAAGAAAAGTCGGCAGTGCCCGCGGCGGCACTGGACAAGATGCTCGCCATGCTTGGCGACTTGTCGGAACGGATGGGCAGGATGGAATCCTCCCAACGCGAACAAGTTGGAGGCCAACGCATGAAATCTGCGGAGTCGAGCGTCTTTGGTTCGGTTATCGGATCAGGGGGCGGTATAACACTTCAGGCTTTGGAGCGTACCCCACCCCCTAAACGTTCACCGAATGTCTCGCCGGCCACCTACTTCGGTTCCCGACGACCGGCTCTGGCCGGGGAACACATGGTTGACGCGCCGGCCCAGGAAAATGTCAACCGTGGAATGGCTCGGGGTCTCGAGCCTGGAATTCAGGGACATGCCATGCCTGCGGGAGTATACCCGGGTATGCAAGTACCAGGTCCGGTGCAACACCAGCCCGGACAGGTACACCAAGGTGTACTGGATGGACGCCAAAGGAAGCTGGCTTTGCAACCTTTCGATGGAAAGGAGCTCTACCATGGCCTTGGGAGTGGTTTCATTGAATGGGGCAAGGAATTTGTCCGGCAGGTTGCGTTCTAGGAACGCGCCTGCGGTTTTGGATGGCCTGAAGATATCAAGGTGGATGTCCTCGGCCAACATCTCGCTGGTACGGCGCAGAAGTATTACCGGCGGCAGGTGGAAACTTGGTGGTCTGAGAGCCAGACCTTGGAGCATGCATTGCAAAGGTTACTCCAGACCTTCAACACCAAGATAACACCTGCCCAGAGCATGAAGCTGTTTACTGCTGCCAAGTCACCCCAGCGTAGCTGGACCGAACACTTCCTGTACCTGACCGCTGTGAGCGACGCATGTGGAGGTGCGGACAACCTCGTACTGGACAACATCGTGCATTATGCCGATCCAGCCATGCGGACGACTATGTTGTCCCGCCTGAATTTGAATAGGATTGACTATCTTCGTCAATCTGAAGAGCTCGCGCAATTCGCACAGTCAACGGAACTTGAAGTTCGCGTAAAGCACTTCGGTCGGGATGTTGTCAACATTGTTGAGCCAAACAACCAACCCAAGAGGATCGAACGGACCAAGAAACAACATGGTCCACAGCGATCCAAGCAGTGTTATCTGTGCGGCAGCACCGGGCATCTCAAGATGAACTGCCCAAAGGGTACCAAGAAGAAGCAAGATGCAGATTTCGTCTTGGCTCTCCCAGTACATCGGACGATTTCGCCAAGTCACTGGGTGCTGGACAGCGGCTCAGGTCGTCACCTGATTAACGATTTGAGCTTGCTGGAAGATGCGGTGGACTGCAACACCAAATGCTTCACCGCTGCGTCGGACAGTGAACCACTTCAGATCACCAAGCAAGGAAGTGTGATGATCCGGGTCAAAGCACTTGGATTAACTAAGACAATACGTCTTCTCGATGTTCAATACGCATCAAACTTGGAGTGCAACATCATCTCGTTTGGGAAACTCGAGTCGAAGGGATGCATCCTTGAGTATCGAGAAGGGAGGCGTGTCATGGTTTCGCAATCCGGTGGATTACCTATCATGGATGTCGATCGGATCAATAGTGTACTGGTCGTTGAAGTTTTCAATGGAGCTACGACCAATGGTTCCCATGGTTTCGGATCACCAAGAGAAGCTATCATGACGGTCGTCGACGACATCAAGAGTAGCACAAGGAACGACGTTCAACATGGAACCCTGTTTTATTTTCATCACTGTCTAGGGCACTTGTGCTACGACACCATCATAAAGATGGCTCGGGATCCCGCCTCTGGTATCAAACTGACTGATACCAAGCGCGTCAAGTGCTTAGCCTGTGCACAAGGCAAGCAGACAAAGAACCGACAATCGCGGAAGGACAGTGGGTTGAATTCACCCATTGACGTGATCGGAGGCGTGGTCTGTTCAGACCTGAAAGGTCCTATGACCCCCCGTGATCGACTCGGCAATCGATACCTGATCAATTTCATTGATCACAGGTCGAATTACTGCCGGGTGTTCCTAGTGAAGACCAAAGATGCTGCTGCGATGCATTTCAAGAATTTTTTGGTGGTTTTCGAACGCCAATTTAATTGCCGTATACACGTTTTACGTACAGACGGTGGAGGCGAGTACAAGCCTCTGGATGTTTTTTGCAAGAAGGTCGGTGTCTCTCGCCCAGTGAGCGAGCGTGACAACCAGGCCAGCAATGGCAAAGCCGAGCGCATGCATCGCACTATCATGAATATGGTGCGAAGCATGGTGTTTGCAAGTGGGTTACCCTTGACGTTTTGGGGTGATGCTGCAGAATATGCAGCATACATCTTAAATCGAAGTCCCACCAAGGCTAACGAAGGTAGCATCTCACCCATCGAGATGCTAACCAAGAAGACACCCGTCTTAAGTGACATTGTGGTTTTCGGGTCCTCATGCACTGTGCATCGAACGACCTCGAACAAGTCATTGGGTCCCCGTGGCAAACAGGGGATCATCATCGGGAAGAGCGATGAGATGAAAGGCTATCGGGTCTTCATACCAATGGATCATGTGGTGGTAGTAGCTCAACACGTGAAAAACGTCGAAACCTTGGATAACATCCAAAGGCCAAACATGACCAAAACGTTACATGGTACCGAAGGTCAGGAGGAGCTCGGTGACCAAGGTGGCACGAACAAATCAAGTGCAAGGCCATCAGAATGGACTCGTGATCCACACATGACACGATCACGCCGAAATGACGAAGATACATCAAGCGAAGTCACTATCTCAGGTGAGGGTGTCGACATCGTCAACGCTGTTCGGGACCCGAAAAACTATGGCGAGGCTGTGCGAAGCGACAGCAAGGATAAGTGGGCTGTGGCCATCAAGGATGAACTCGACGCACTGGAGGAGAACGGTGTGTGGGCGGTTGTCGTTCCACCTGACAACGCCCACATACTCCACAATAAATGGGTTTTCAAGACAAAGACCGATGCTGACGGGAATGTCGAGAGATACAAGGCCAGACTCGTTGCATGTGGAAACGAGCAATTGTTTGGAGTCGACTACACCTTGACATTTGCCGCGGTTATGGAACTCGGGACAGTCAAGGTGATCCTGGTCCTCTCACGC